CAGTTCTTCAAATCAAACACCAATAAAAAAAAACTGAGAGAGAAAACAGAATGATGGGGAAACCGAAATGGAGAATGAAAACTGAGAAAAAGGGATGTTTGGGTTAACATGGGTTGAGAGACTGAGGGGTTTCTACTCTTATCTATCTGATGACTGACTGAATACAGCTCAAACGTCACATGACGGTCATACACACACACACACCCTCTCACAAAGCATGTGATCCAAACACAGTCATAGGACACGCTCACTGGCCAAAAATGCAAACTTCAGCAAACAAACTAACATGTACTCTTTGCTAACACTATGCATGCATGTTGCAACAAATATACAATCAGTCATACGCTTCACTCTCACACAAAGAGAGAGTGATCATTTTAAGAACTTAAAGCATCTATGCAATTGTTAATAGCAGCAGCCTATTAAAGAGTTTAATTATTTACATGAAGTGGGTCGTCTTGTGGGGGCAGCTGTATTGATAAACGTATACTGCTTGTTTAATCAAATAATATTGAGTTACTGACAACAGAATATATTATGCTGGCCACCTTTACTGAAAGTTTATTTCCTTTAAAAAAATCTTTGCTAAAGCTTCATCAACCATGAAACAAAACCAACCAGCTACAAAAAACAGAGTGCAATTAAAATCCATGGTCTTTTGTTAATTTATATACAAGTAAAACCAGTTTTGTTGCACAGTACTTGACAGAGTTTTCAATAGTCATGTCATGTTAGATTTTCTAATCCCTGCTTTGACTCAGTCACAGGCAGACATAGATGAAGAGCAAGAGAGGCTGTGTGTTTGTGTGTGTGTAAATGACACGGGAATATCTAATAGCTCATAGTAACGCGTGTTACTGTGCATTCACACCGAATGTGGTGAGAGCATTCAAGGTCGCTACATTGATCTTGTATTTAAGGCTGTACTCACTCCATGTACAGTTGCCTCGAACCTGGCCAAAGCACTCTTGTCCCCCCTCCCGTCTCCTCTGACGGCCCGCACTCACACTGCAATCAGGCCTGGGCACGCTTACGTCATCGATGCTTTGCTGTTCTGTAAGCACTCTCGCTAAGCACAGTGGAGATTTCTCTAGTCATATTGTTTCAGTCGTTTGTTATGCAGTGACACACAGTCAAATTTTCGCCAAACAGTCCTTAGGGATGCGGTGACACGCAGACAGATATTTCGCCGAACAGATCTGCCACTTTTGGCACTTAAAAACAATCATAAAGCCCTCGTGCTGCAGGAATGAGGAGGTCTGCTGAAGGTGCACAGCTGTCGTGCAGTGAGGGGTTTGCGTCTTTAATAATCTAGGGCAGTTTGCGTTCATTGAACAGTAAGAATGATTAATAAAATCCATATGAAACAGTCCCTTAAAGCTACGTCTCGCTTTCAGTTTCGGGCTTTGGCCCACCTCTTCCAACCGGGCCAGGGCCGGCCAAGTGAACCGTGCCTGAGCCCGATTCAGCGCACACACACTTCTTAAACGATCCGGAAAACGGGCCTGGGCACGATTCGGATAGCATAGTGTGAGTAAGCCCTAAAGGGGCTGTTGCAATATGTCATATCAGTTACATTTCTGCATAAAACTTGCTTTCTAGCATGAAAATGTTGCGCACTTCTTATCAAATTCATTTAACAATGGAAGATCAAGTTGTGTGTGGTGTGGCTTTGCTCAAATTAATTATCCAATATGTCTAAAATATCCTTAAGCATCAATACTATTTTGTACTGTCGCATGGGATTCCTGCTTTTTTAAAGATAAATATATATATATATATATAACATTAATGCACATCAGTAACTTATTTAAAGTATGTTCCTGCCAGAAAACATTGTAAATAATTAAAAATCTGGTAAACCGCAATCATCAGACCCTTAGGAACAACTGTGGTCGGAACAGTTCTGTGTTCGCTGAATTTCTCTTAAGCGGTGGACTACTTCATTCTGATTGCTTGCTGGGGAACTGCGTCATAGCTTGATACCATAAAGTTGACTTTACTTCAACTCTCCTCGACGCCCACACCGGCGAAGACGTGCCGCACTGCTCCTCGCCACAGGCTCTCATTAAAAATGAACAACTTCCGGCTACTTTGACTCTTTCAGTGCTTTCGGTGTGAACGTACGGTAAGCTACCTTTTCGCAAATATTTTTGAGCATATTTTGGAGTTGGTTAATTCCCATCGACTGGTGAAGAACAGGTCAGTGTCCTCAAGATTACACAGAGGAATGAAGGCTCTGTCACAGAGGTAATATGGTAACTAATGTTTGAAAAGCACATTTATTCAGGTACAGTAGGTACCGCTGCAGCCCGGAGACCTCCAAGCTGGAGGGATTACACCGCAAGTAGGTTGGGTGATCTCCAAGTGGAAGGGACTTAAACCACAAGTAAGTTGGGTTTAGGTGGTGTAGGTGGAGCAGATATTATTAAAATACATCAGGTTACTGTGAGGTTGGGGAAATTCATAAAGCACAATATTGGACTCCGCGTCATGTACAAGACATTAAATAAATAAAAACTCCAGGTTTGTACAGCCCACATGGAGCTGGCTCTGACCTCCGTTATACCCTTCTCCATTTATTTCTATTATGATTTTATGACACATCTTCCAGCCAATCAGAATAGAGAATTTCAACAAACCATGTAATAAACACAGATAGCATACCAGCTCATTTTTGTCAGTCACATCATATAAAGAAATCTTTTGCTGCTCTTTGCTCTCTGCGACTCTCTGATTGGTTGAATTGTCTACACTGCATGGGTAATGCAGTTTAATGCACAAATTCTGCTATTATACATGCCTTGCTTTAAAATATGTTAATAAAAATTAATGTGAACAGATGAGATCGACAAAAGCATGTACAACAGATTAATAACGTTAAACTCAAAACAGACCTGAGAAGTGGTTTCCAAAGTGGGAGTCGGTGCTTGGGGATTTCCAAAAATCATTTTCATTTTATTAAACCATTCAAATTACTATATTTTATCCATAGCCTAAAGAATATAAAAATTGTTACAATAACAACATGCAAATAAAACGCAACAAGCTGACCACCTGAGTGATTATTTTATATTAAAGTCACATGCAGCAGATTGACTTTATGGCACCAGGTTAAACTTTCTGACACCTTTTGCTTTAAGAAATCATTAGTTATACTTATATAATTATCAGTTATTGTAGGTATTGTTAATAATCCCTTTCTTTGGCAACTAACTCAAATAACTTTTGTTGTTAAAGTACTACAATTTACATTATTTAAAGCAAACATTTAAAACTTAAACTAGTTTTACAAATTCCAAAAATAAATCATATAATCTAATGTAATTCTAACACAGAACTGAAAAACATGAGTTTAAAATATATGTCATAATATTGGCCGGCAGCCCTGCACTGCGTTTACTTAAAATGTGCTACATGTTGCAGTGCAGCATAAAAAAGAATTTACTTTTAAAAATTTACATTAAAAATTTACTTTGTTGCCGCTTTACGTAAACAAATCTTTGTTTTGTGAGAGCTGTATTTATTCCTGTGTCAAATTATTATACAAGTAAAAGTGAACATTTATATTCTTATGTTGAAACTCTTTGGTTTGGACCTAAATTAATTGTGCAAACAGGCCAGATTTGAGCAATGGAGTTCATTGTGAGGTGATTGCATTAGATGGAAATCCCTTTACTGATCTTTTCCGTCACATTGAACCACCTATTTAACACTGCAATCAGTATTCTTGTATTATCAGTTGGTAAACAGGGTCAGTTCACTTCCTTCTAGGAAACTGCATGATTGTCATACGACCATGTATTTGGAAAGAGTCCATCAAAACACATTGCTGAATAAAGGCATATGTTAGCCAGGTATGTTAGCACATAAATCAATACCAATTTTTTGCAATATAATAGTTTTTTTTCAAATATTTAGTTTTATTTCTAAAAATTGTATTTATATATTTTTTTTCACATTCTTCTCTCTCAATTTTTCATTCCCCAACATCCAAGCTTTCACTTCTATTAACAGGGTTAAATAGAAAATTCACTTAAAATTTTTATTCTGTCATTTACCCAACTTGAAAAAAATGAATAAATAAAAAAAAATAATTAAATGAAAAACTATATTTTAATAAAAAAAGTGATCAAGTGGACTGTTTTTTGGGTAAATGTACCTTATTTTGAAAGTTAAATAAAATTATATATCACACAAAGCTATGGAAAAATTAAGAGACCAGTTAAAAAAATTCATCTCTGGATTTACGATTTATGCATTTTTGAGTTACACATATTTTCGGTTGCTTTCTATAGATTACAGATGACAGATGATGTCTTTCAAGTTACAAATAAAAACGTCATTAATTCATTATAAATAAACATTAGTTATTATGTGAAATAAAAACTAAATAATTAATCATCAACAACAGCCTCCCATTTAATATTAAAAACAACACTGCAACTTGTTTTTATTTACATTTAGAATAAGGTGTTTTGACAGGTATTTGCCTCAAATTTAGGTGACACCACAAATCTGGCGTGATTAACCAGCAGTGTTCTTTCTACTGACTCTCCCATGAAACCCTTTTCCAGTCACTCTAACAAGAATACAGGGACAAAAAAATGGAGCACAACAGAAGCCAAATAGACATAGGCTAAACACTTAAAAAACAAGAGAAAACTCGCAGGTATTGTGCAAGCATAATTGCATCTAGGTGTTACATAACTCAGCTGACCAGACGCAGAGCTCGTGCGTGTGACTCTTCAGCGCGTACAGATCAAATAACACTACGGCCTGCGAGTGATAGCACAATAAAATGCTGATCATAAACTTGCACGAGCCTCTGCTCTTTATCATAGAAATAAACAGCTGGATGCAGCGGAGAGCTCGTCACTGTCATTTAAACGCTCAGACTGGCACGCGCTTTTTTACAGACTGGCGCGTGCAGGTGTGCAGAGCGCGTGACTGTGTCTCCATAGGTATAGTAACATGCGCGTGCTAACGGTCCTACTTACCGCTGCTCCGCTCCCGTCGAGCAGTCCCGGGCGCTGCCGTTACCGTTACCGACTGCTCTCTTGCTGAAGAGCTTTTGCAGCAACGTCGGCATGCTGTTGCTTTGCTTTTCATCAACACAAAATCTGGGCTTCGCGTTTCCCCATTGGGACGAGCGTTCAGACGCAGGTTTCTAGTAAAGATCCATGCTGAAGTCATGTGACATTCGCACCAGCTGAGCGACGACGCAAACAGAAACAGAAGTCCGCGGGCGCGCTCTGCTGACGGGGACGCGCACTCACACACTGCCGTTGCAACTTGGCACGTGCAGAACGTGCGCACACTCTGCAGAGATTTTCTGGTCGTTGCTGTTTAGTCATTTGGTATTTAACGTATTAATATTAAAATGCTTGGCTTTATGTAAACTAAATTAAGGCATTTATATATTAAGTAAATAGTTATGTATTATTAAATCATTTCTACATCGTGATAGTATTCTCTCTGAATATAAATACAATAATACAGTAAAGTTAAATAAAAAGCAAAACGAGAAATAATAATAATAATAATAATAATAATAATAATAATAATAATTCATGTAAAACATAAAAATTATAAAGAGTAAAGTAATTAATATTAGGTAGATTAAAAGCTTTATTTTTGACAAGTTCTTTGATTACTGATGCAAAATTACATTTGAAAAGCAATATAAAGTTTGTATCAAAACTAAATGATAACCGTTCTGCAGTTGGACAATTTTGTAAATAAGTATTATAATTGTTTAATTTATTATTTTAAATTTATATTAATATATATTATTTAGTTTATAAGAGTAATAAGATTAATGCCTAAAACCTGAATGTACAAAGTAAATATACAATGGATAAAAAGTCAAACCGTGCCATAATGTTTAAACTACCATAAAACATTAAAGTTATACAAATAAACGTTATGGTCATAAATATGAACGAAAGGTTGATAAAGTAATTTTGCAAAAAAGAAAAAAGAAAACAGCAGTAAGAACAATTTCATATATATATTATTTACAGTTTTTCTGAGATTTTTTATCTTGTGTATAAAGAATTTAGATTTATAAGGGACCTACTAGGCTTGTGGTAAATGTGTAAGACACGGAACAAAAATACCGTTGAACCGGTCCGTCCTTTAAACCTTCCCCCCATACGTCACACGTGTAAACGATAGACGTTTACTTAAATTAACAAATATGGTAAGTTTTAAACTCATTTTCGACTACATAATCAGAATATACATTTAAATGTCGCGTTTACTAATTGGCGTTCTTATTTCAGCCTAAAGGGAGAAAACCAAAGGGGCCGGTGGAGAAAAAGGTTATTCACCCATACAGCAGGAAAGCCGCCTATCTGGCCAGAGATGCCATCAAACAAGAGAGGAAAGAAAAGTAAGAGCCTTTTCCAATTCACGATTTATTTTTTTGTCCCTAAAAAGCAAATGAATTTATACCGAGTACTGTTATTTTTGTTAATGTAGCATTTGTATAATCACCTCTAGGTTAAAATGTGAAAAGGCCCAGCGTTTAAATTTAGTTGGTGAGTAGTTCATTATTTATTATTCTGTATTGTATTTGTGGAAGCAATGAATGTGAAAGTTTTTGTCATTCTGTTAGCTTTGGTATTTTCCCAAAGCTAATGGAAACGTGTTTTGCTAACATTCAATTAAAGGGCTAGGTCACCCAAAAATGAAAATTGTCTCACCATTTACTTGCTCTCATGTGGTTCCAAATTTTTAAGGACTTGTTTCTTCTGTTGAATACAAAACAAAATATTCTAAACATTCAGTTCGTTAGTGTTGTTGAGTTTGTTATGTAAACGTTAGAAAAGATATTAAGTTTGATTATTTTTGAACATTCTCAGAATCATTCCAGACAATTAATTATTGACGTTTTAAAACATGTTTTAACATGCCTAACTTTCCAATAATACATTTCAGGAAAAAAAATGTCTAAAAGATGCTTAAATAATATTTTTGTCTTACCAGATAGGTTATAAAAGACAGCTTTGAACTAATATGCAATTATCATTACTGGAGGAACATTTGGTTGTGTCTTGGAGAAAACATTGGCAGAACATTAGCATAAGAACATAAGTTCATCTAATGTATTATTTACCTGTTTGCTGATCACTCATTTTCTGCAGGTGAAAAACTGTTGTGGTTCCAAAACCAGCTGAACCCTGACAAGCCAGAATACACCAGACAAGATGCTTGTGAAATAACTGAGAGGTATGACACATCCCGAGGTTTAAATATGATAAAAAGTTGTATATTAAGAATATTTATAAATACAACTTTCTCAGGTATCTTCAGCGGTTTGATGGGGAACTGGAGCAGATCGAGCTGGCGAACAGCATCAAAGGCCGCCAGGGTCGCCAGCACAGCTCTAGAGAGGCCATCATCAAGCAAACCATAGAGCGAGAGAGAGCTCAGTATGAAGGCAATGGCTTTGGTAAATAATTTAGATGTCTTTATTTGTTCCCTTTTAATAAGAATTGCATGATAACCATGTTGAAAATGTTTGAACTAAAATGTTTCTCATAATAATTAGGACACTATTTAGAAGGAACAAAACTGTGTTTTATTATGCCACAGACCCCTAAATATAATTATATTAGATTGTAAAATGCATCATACTTCATTTCAAGTTTTAACATTTAGCTGATGATTAATAACAAAGCTTGTGTGGCATGCTGTCCTGGGAGAGAGCCCTGAGCTAATGAGATCCTCGAGTCCTGGGCTCCCTCCCGTTTGGAGGACGAGAGGCGAGTTTGAGCTCAGGTAGATCTTGATGAACTCCCCCCAGCTTATTTCTGGCTAATGACAGGTATAGGATGGCTGAGGAAAGATGTACTAATAGCTTGGCTATGGTATCAATTTGGTATTTTCAGTTTACTTTGGGTTGCGTGTCTTTTGGACTGTGAGAGGAAACTGGAGAACCTGGAGAAAACAACTAAACTTAACTGGTTAACTAGTTTAGAAGAGACTTTAAAGCTGCGGTCACACTGGGCTTTTCCTCCCATAGACTTTCATTCATACGCACGCTAATGCATCAGGCCGGAAACTCGGTATCATGTGCTAAGTTTCACAGGTTGTATCATGTGCTAAGTTTCACAGGTTGCTTCGGTGCAAAGTTCAAGCTTGGTGATTTCTGACCTGCGAAATCGCATCACTTGACTGCGTGAGAACAATCGAGGATCAAAACATGACCACTCTGGACAGTAATTTAAAACATGGAGCAATCGCTCACTTTTTTAATGCCTAATAATTTTGTTTATTCCTGCCCCTTTTCGCAGCGCCGCACGACACAATTTCGCATAATCAGACTCCAGTGTGACCGCAGCTTAACCAGAGACATTCTTGCTGTGAGGCAACAGTGCTAATCACTGTCACCCATCTGGAAAGGAGGGGGAGCAGGGGTGGGTTCTTCAAGACAAAGATATTCAAATAGGAAATCTAGTTATTTATAGTGAGTTTAAAAATCATGTAATTGGAGAATCAATCATGAGCTGATGTGAGACCAGCTGAGAACAATCATAAGCAGGTGATCCTCTTGAAATTAGTTTATAAATAGACCTCACTCATGCTGTAAAAAATGAATACTGTTTAAAAAATGTTTAGTTTCTAAATTTCGATAATATACATTACTACACTTTGCCTCTACTCATGTTAATTTATTCATTAACACGGATTTTATATTTTATTACACAATTTAATTATTTTATTTAGTTTAATCAGTTTTTAAAGGTTCATTTTAATCATTTGTTTGTTGTTTGGAAGTTTTAGATTTTTGTTTTTGCAATTCATCTTGATCATTTTTATTGGTTATTTTATTTTTATTTTATATTTATATATTTATTAATATTTAATGAAATGATTTTATTAATTACTATTAATTGTTATTATTTTAATCAGCTTTATTTATGTGTTTCGTTTACATTCATTTTTTTTAAAGCTTCCTCACAGACTCTCCTGTGACCCCCTGTGGGTCAGGTTTAGAAAAACTGCACTAAATAGTAAAAAAGTTTTGTTTTTTTTACTCTTTTTCACTTTACAGAAATTCCTGACATCATCAATGCTAAGCATCTGAAGATATTCAGGTAGTTGCTACATCGTTTATTTTGTTAAAATCATTCTTTTTGTTAATAACATCTTGCACAGAGTACTGAAAAGTCAGCATGTGTTTGACAGAGAATGGAACGGTGACCTTAAGAAACTGCCCTGCATTAAGATGAGAAAGCTTTCAGCCAAAGGCTCCGACAGCAAACCGTCTACAGTTTCACAAGATACACACATGGAGGAAGAGAACGAGGAAGATAAATCTCTGGACTCTGATTCTGACCTGTGAGATCTACTGCAGTACACAGTAGAGGAATAGACTTCATGCTGAGTGTAAGGACAGAAAGAGCCAGACATTGCTCGATGTTTTATACTACTGGTGTTTTTTTTTTAACCAGACTCTTGCAGAAACATTTTGTCGTGAGGAGAAAACTTAGTCCTTCAAGTACCACAGGGCTATCAACACACAAATAAACAGAGACTTTGAAATGGGTTAATACTGAACATTCATGGAGTTTATTGCACTGGCTGATTTTTGCAAGTTTTTTATATTGTGCATCTGAGTTGTGAAAACTGACATTGATCGAATCTCACTTAATTATGACACATTTTTAAAACTGGATTTAATATGTCAAATCATCATTGCAGAAAATCACATAATACAAAAAATGTAAAATCAGCTGAATTCTTTCCGAATATCGCATAGTAAAACATGATCCTCTTCAAACCTTAATATTAAAAGATCTCTTTCATGTCAATAAATAAACAAACAATGTTCTCATTCAAACCCTTCAACACATAGCTTCTCAATTACTGCATATTTAAAAAATCAAAATTACATTAAAATTAATAATAGTGCTAAATTCTTTAATTTTACTTTTACTGAGGAAAAACAAAGCCTGGTTACCATAGTTATCAATTTGTTTAGCTATTTTTAGATGAAATCTTTTTTTGTTTGTTTTACTTTTTATTTTTTGACATTGAAATATATTTTTATTTATCAGTGTCCTTTTTATACACTAAGAATTTATATGCAAAAGCCTCTAAGCGCCAATCTGAAATCTTATAAAAAATGTGCATGCAAAAGCCTCCTCAAATTTTTCTTATAAAGAATTTTTTTTCTCATAAATTTATTAGAAATGTTTCTTAGCCTCCTGTGTTTATGTTCAGTTATTTCACTTGAAGGCAGTCAAAAGAACAATAAAAGTGAAATGATTAAACCTAGACACTGGATAAAAATGCTCATTTTAGAATAACATTTCAGATGGCACTTACTGCGGTAAAAACAGTAAATTATTAATTATTTATTTAAACAGTAAAAAAAAACAGAAAATTAGGATAATTACATGTAACGCACCCTAAACCAAATCACATTTTTATCTTTAAATCTTTACTAAGTATATGTAATTAATTAATTAATATTACACAATACTTAATTGTATTACAAAGTATCAAAGACATCTTAAAATAAAATGCAACAAATGATACTGCTTATTTTGATCAAATGGCTGCAGTAAAATACAGATAGGTTTCAGCTTTTTGGGGAAAAAAACCCTGACAGCATGCTTTCTGTAATAGCCATATCTATCTGAAATGCATTTTCACCCATAGAAATGAAAACTACAGTAACCAGGCAGGGTATGAACTGATGGTGCCTCCTTTACCAAATTCAAACCAACTTTAAAACTATAAACAAAACAATCAATTCCTGTCAGCTGCTTACTCAGATCAGTAAAAACTATGAAAATGTATTCACATTATAAAAGACAACAAGCTATCTACTGAATGCATGTCTGTCAACACTTGTATCTTTGGTTTAAGTTTATTTTCCAGAGACTCACTGAAGTTAACTGTATTCCACTCGAAGGAGACTCTGATTAGACAGTTCAGCAGAGATGAGTGAAAACACAGCTGTGGTAAAGGTTAGATCTATAGAGGATTGGCTCAAGACCTTCTGCCATGTTCACCTCTGCTCAAATTCAGATGTCACAGAGTTCAGGCTGATCTACAGAACAGGAGACGATGGCTAGAACACTTCAGAACAGGTTATGAGTGTAGGAATGTTCCCTTTTGTTGGCTAAATAGTAAGAAGTATATGTAGGTTTAGGTTATAGAATATGGCTGCCAATCAGATAAACATTTTGCATCAACTTTATATGACTACAAATGAGAAGGTCGTTTAAGACTGAATGGCTCAGATAGTAGGAAAGTCATTATGCTAATTATAGACTGGAGACATGATTATATATGATAACCTTTTATATAATAAAATGCACTAGATGGCCATGTACACTACATAAAAACTACTTGGTTGTCCATACATCTTTTTTAGTGCTTGTGCCTGTTCTGTGCATACATAGGGGTGACAACCACACTGATATACATAAAATTCTGGTAGTATATGAATATTAAAAAAAATCACAGTTTTTCTAGTAGTTTCATTCAAAATCTAAATTGAAAATATGTATTTGAATTGGAGTGCGTCTCAATCAGCTCTCTTGTTCCGTAGTCAGGGCACTGATAAGGGAGTCAGCCATTTCAAGGTCCGTCTCAATCTCAAGCCACAAACAATGTTTTAAAAAAAATATATATAATAATAATAATAATATATATATATATATATATAGATAGATAGATAGATAGATAGATAGATAGATAGATAGATAGATAGATAGATATAATATATAATATATATTTCATATCTAATATTAAATGAACATAGACATGTTTAGAAAAATCTAGCAATTATTTATTAATGATTGAAATATTGCTGGTAAATAAATCATGGTATCTTTAGTCCATTCCATATCTGTTTTCAAACCAAAGAAGGAAAACTAAGAAAAAAAATTTTTTTTGCTTACAAAAAACAAAAACAAAAAAGCATTTTTGGTTTAGGGTAGGAAAACGGATAAACAACTTTAAAATTCATTATGCACATGTAGGCAGTTCTGAAACTCTCTTTTTCCTCTGATTGGTCTATCAAATCTTAACTTGTGATGTCGCCCCCATAATAATATTCTTTATTATAAAATAGCCTTTGTTATTGGCCCATTGTGTTCTTATTCTGGTCCTGCTATCAACTATTAAAAAGACTAAACGATAACAAAACGCTAAATAAACTATATTAATTATTATTATTATTATTATTAGCCTATTATGGTGATGTAGTGGCGCAGTAGGTAGTGCTGTTGTCTTGCTCACACCAAGAAGCTCGCTGGTTTGAGCCTTGGTTGGGTCAGTTGGCGTTTCTGTGTGGAGTTTGCATGTTCTCCCTGCGGTCACGTGGGATTCCTTTGGGTGCTCCGTTTTCCCCCAAAGTCTAAAGACATGCGCTATTGTTGAATTGAGTAAGCTAAATTATCTGTAGTGTATGTATGTGAATGAGAATGTATGGGTGTTTCCAAGTGATGGGTTGCAGCTGGAAGGGCATCTGCTGCATAAAACATATGCTGGATAAGTTGGCGGTTCATTCCGCTGTGGCGACCCCAGATTAATAAAGGGACTAAGCCGAAAAGAAAATAATTAAATGAATGAATTAGCCTATTATTGTTTTTGTTTTTATTGCTGTTATTAGTATTATTAATATTATTATTATTATAAAGGCCTTGCTCGGAAGCAATCATGCAAACCAGGTTCTGCTCGGAAATGGCTATCTTTGCTCAGCATTAGGTGCACAGCAGCAAGAAGTTTGGCAGCAAACTATGAACTTAAGTTTTTTGTGTGCAAAAGAAAAACCAAAAAACTGGCATTTTCTTAGTTTTGCTTTTTTTTTAAAACAGATATGGAATGCACGAAAGATACCCTGATTTAAATGAAACAATCACATGATTTATTCATAATGTACGTTATAAAATTAATATGTGGAAAATATCAGTTATGTTGTCATTTCACAGATTACAATGAGGAAGTTTTCATATTCTCAGTATCCCAATGTGTCCTTACCCGTATCCGAATTTGTGTAAACTACCTAGAGACAAAAGACAGGTTAGGTAGCTGATTGAGATGCAGGCACCATTTTTAATTTAACTGTCTATCACAAGCTGTCAAATACAGTTTTACTGGGCTGCAATGTAAATAAAACCCTTTTGATGGTGATGGTGACACAGTGGTCTGGTTGAATATTTGGTGACACTTTATTTTGATGGTCCATTTGAGTATTAGTAGACTATCTGCTTAATATCTATTGATACTGCTCCTTCAACAGACATTTAACCGACTATAAGAAACTTTGCAAGTACATGTCAACTTACACTAGGCATAACCTAACAGTCTACTTATAATCTAATGAGAATTGGTTGGCATGTAGATGCAATGTAACTTAGATTCAACAAATGGACCATCAAAATAAAGTGAGCAAATGTCTTACCTGTCCCAAACACTTAAGCTTTAACTTAGGCTTGTTTCCACAAGATGCCATTTTAGCATTTAGAAGTGTGTGTGAGAAAAGAGAGTTCCCCTTTTGCTTGTTGCACACACACAATGTTCACTTTTTTCAAGCTCCACATCAGATTTGACCTAATAGTCAAAGTAGCATAATATGATTAAAACAACTGGACTCAGAGGAAGACCTATATTTAGAACAGGGCTTATGCTGATGACTAAATCTACATAGTGGATTTCTGTATTTTAATGCGGTTGTCAATCCTAAAACTTTATCGTATAACCATGACCTATTAACATCTTATATAAGGTTATGGATCCTCTAATAAACCTAGAGGGGAAATAAAAAAGTGCTTTTATGCAAGTCACACGACTTTGGTCAAATACACCAGAAGAAGCCTTTTTCTAGACTTTTTCCAGCTACTGAGGTTCAAAGCACCAAGCATCCGTTGATCAAACAGGAGCCATTTCCACTCCTCCAGCGTTTGTTTGTGTCTGAGGTGCAGGAACCTCCACTGCCCCGTGTGTGCCGTTGCTCTGGGTGACCTGAGATGGCCTGTTTTCTCCATTGCGGGCGGTATCGGGGCAGTTCTGTACGAAGATGATCCTGTTGAAAGCCTTCAGCCTCCTCCAGAGCTGCAGGTAGACTTTGCACTGAATGTACATGAAGATGAGTCCTCCGGTGAAGCCCACAGCCACCACGATGAGCTTGGTCCAGAACGGCCAGTCCAGCACCCCTACGGCATTGAGAGGGGACAAACGCACCAACGCTGTGTGTGCAATGAGAGTATGGCATGACATTACAGCACTATATGATAATGTTGCCATCCAGCTACTCTAGTAGAATCATGTAGTGTTCCACACTGGATCTTCTACTGAAACATTCAAACATCACAACACTCTACTACTGCACTAAAAACACAATAAGGCGGCATTTAAAATTTCATATTGTCACTTTACTTAACCCTTGTGTATAGTTCAACTTGACTACGCTTTCATTATGTTCGTGACTGCTTTATACCCCATTGTATTTCATCATAATGACATTTTTTGATTGCCAAGCCATGACAGCATATAATCATGCATTCTTGATTGTTGGTGTTTTTCCTTGTTTCCTTGAAGAGTTCAAACTTTTCATTTTTACTGTTGATCGTCAGTTGGCAGCATTATATATTTTAGATGAGTGGTTCTTTTTCCATCAAGTACCACCACAGAAAAGAATTGCCTCTCCAACTCCCACCATAATGAGCAGTAATGAAATACAGTAGTGTAGTAGGCCTGATGAAGCAGCCACAGCTCTGCACTGTTCAAAACGAGGCAGATTCATTTCTATTATTAAAAATATTTATTATTGTCAGCCACTTTGAACATTAAAAATAGTTTGAACATTAACACTGTACTGTGCTTATATGTAAAGAAACAAACAAGCAAATAAAACATCAACATTTTAATTAAAATATGCTTTTAAAAGTTAAAAATGAAAAATTACTGTTCTTAAAAAAAACTAAAAAAAAACTTCTGTACTTAAATGTAAAGCATTAACATATAGTAGCCAATTCATCAACACCTGGAAATGTTCCCTGGACCTTAGAAATATAGGACCTTAGAAATATAGACCTTAGAATATGACAGAAATATATATGTCATCATATTCAAATATAAATCATTTTTGATACATTTTGAAATATATGTAGCATGTACATATGACATATTTGTTTCCTACCACTAGAAGGAAGCATGCGTTATGTTTATTTTCTCAAACATCAGGGGAAGTGCGCAAATGTCTCTCTCACAGTCACACACACTATACCCCATATAACCATATCATTTTTTATCCAGAAACAGCTTTTTTGATCAACAGTTAAAGCTTAAAAATTTGTAAATATAACTTTACGAGGTTACATCTTTTTGGATTTAACAAGATGCTTATCATGCTGTTTTATGAAGCTGTTCTTGAAAGCGTTGTCAGGTATTGTTTCACAGTGTGGTTTGGCAACCTATCTGTACAGTGTAAATCTAAGTTGAAGACAGGATGGAAAATTGTTGGGCATGATGATTATTTTAATCCTCAAGTTTTATATGAGAATTGTGTTCTTAATCAGGTGGAAAGGATTCTGAATGATCCAACTCATTGTTTGTTTCCACATTATGACCTGCTTCCTTCAGGTAGGATATATAGAGTCCCAAAGTGTAGGTTGAACCGATATAAGAAATCCTTTGTACCAGTTTCAGTGGGTTTACTTAAGAGTTTATCTGAATTAGCATTATAATTATTGTATATTGTATAGTTTTTATTGTTTGTTTTATGGAATGTCTGCAGCAATATGGTGATGCCCATAAGAAATTTCCTGTCAAGGACAATAAAGTTTTACTACTAATACAACTACTACTAGTACTACTACAACTCTTCCCAACAGCGGAAACCAGCAACAATCAAGAATGCAAGACTATTTGGTGTCATAGATTTGCAAACAAAAAATGTCATTATCATAGAAGTCAATGGGGCAAATACAGCCACGAACATAACAATAGGGTGGTACTGTATTGTTAAATTTTTTTAATGTCAAAGCATTTTCTTAAAATATGTGCGAAATTAATATTTGTCACCAAAAATCATTCTATTTGCTCAAACACAAAGAAAGTTGTGGGCAAATTAAGACTCAAAATCCCCTGAGAGTGGATGAAAACATCCAGAACATCACACACGGGTTAAAGATTTATTTTCTGGTGTTTTTATTTTGGCTTTATTATGATAGGACAGTAACTAGACAGCAATTAAAGTTAGAAAGAGCGATGGGGGTGGGATCGGAAAAGGTCTGAAAACTTGGACTCAAAGCTTGAGATGCTGATGTTGGTACACTGCCCACAAGGCTCACAGAGCCAAAAGGTACTTACTTTTAAGAATTAATAACTAAGGATGAATAATACATCAGTATCAGTAACAGTTGATAAATGCTTTTTTATGTTACTTATCACAGCTGAGAAATAAATACTCTTTCACACTTTAGATGTGTGCTATTAGCTGTGAAGATTTTTTATGGCGAGTTCAAATGACAGAACTGATCACAAAACAGACGTCCACTTTAAGTTTTTAAACATGAAAACAAGAGAATTTCAGAAGTCCAAATTGTAAAATATTTTAGAAAAAGAAAGATTTAGATTCCTTGCTTTCTGCAGTTAAGTGAAAAAAAATATTTATCACAATAAATTTCAGTTCTTTGCGCTGAAATAAATCTGATCTGTTTAAGTTTTCATATTCAGAAGTGAAAAAATTTTGTTCTAAAATTTTGAATCCTGGTCCTTGTGACCTTCTGCTCTGCACATCTATCTTACCACTTCAGAGTTTTGTATCATTTGACTACGTCTTCTGAGAAAGTGGACATCACAGAATATTCTGCCATGATTCCAGTTCGAAAGAAGCACGTTCAATTTAACTCATGATTTTGGTTGAAAAAGCATTCACAGTAGTAAGTTTGTTTTTGAATGAAGTAAACCCCAAGTTCAGCTGGTTTCCCATGTTAAGGGGTAGACAGCAGTGAACTCTATTCAGGGAAAAACAGCTCTCTTCTAAAGAGCTGGTTATATGAATCATGTATATTAAACAAGAGAGACATGCAAAATGAGCAGAGTGTAGGGTCGCGAGGACATCTGTTCCAAATAGTTTGAATGTTTAGGGATGAATAAAATTTAGATATACAGTAATACATTTGTCAATGTCATGTGTCCAGTCGCGTCACTTAACTGCCATTCACAAATCCTTTCCTGTTTCCTGATGGAACTGAAAAGTGTCCATGATGTGCACACTAAAGTCATTAGGGTACTTTCTGTGTACTTGTTTAAGAGTACTGTGAATTCAAACACACACTACTTTTTTATTTACAAATTGTTTTTGTCTACTATTAAGTTGAATTGTACACAGATTTGGATGCAATCTAAGGCATGCACTTTCAAGCTTCCTAAGCACTTCCTCTCAGCAGAATCCCTGCCAACATTTTCAAGTGCATTATATATTGGTGAAATAAGGGAAGTTTAAATGGACAGACATTCGACCCCTCGATTATGCACACTTTAGCACTCCAGGGAAGGGCATAAAATTTGGACTGGACCGCAGATCACAGCATTTTTTTGGGACTGGGTAAATTAGGTTTTAGTATAAAAACCCTTGCTGCTTCAGAAAAAAAGCTCTTCTGTTTGTAGCAAAATAGACTTATGAAGCTTTTGATTTTTATTAGATTTTTCGAAAATTGTAGAATTCTTAAAATGTTTTCAATTTAAGTTTTAGGAATTTTAATACTACATTTCAACAATTTTATTTTCCATTTTAGGCATAGGTCTCAAACTGGATCCCTGGAGGGCCACAGCTCTGCTCCAACCCTGATCAAACACAGCTGATCCAACTAATGACGGTGTTCATGACTCTTTTGAACACCTCAAGTATTTGGATCAGCTGTGTTTGATATAGAGTTGGAGCAAAACTGTGCAGAGCTGCGACCCTCCAGGAATCCAGTTTGAGAACTATGATTTTAGGCTACAGGAACAGCACTATAGTTAAAAAGTATTCATCTCAATGTGACCATGCATAATTTGTACAGTCAAAAACACTGATAATTGTGATCAATATCAAAAATGATCGCTTAGAATGAATAAGCTGCTTTGCAGCACTACTGCATTGCTGCACTTTATTTTCACTTCTAAAACTAAATGCTATTGTGCAAAGAAATGTCTAAACGTTAAAGCCTCTGCGTGAAAAATTTCACCTCTGAGTGTGTTTACCTTTGTTCTTGCTGTGGCGTATTTCCTCAGCCGTGCGGTCAATCAGGACGTACAAAGACCAGATGACACACACCACAGCTGCCAAGTGAAAGATGACGGAGCAGAAGATCTTCCGCCGCTCGCTCGTGGACATGTGGAGCTTCTCCCACTAAAACCCACACAGAGTACAAGGGTAGGAAAACATTATATTAGTTTTTTCAATGAAAGCATCACCTTTCTGCAATTATTCTTCCATCCACAGTGTGGCAGCACTAGATCACAAACAAAAATAGAAAAGTATCCTGATAAATCACAAAAATCAGCTTACTGAAATAGTTTGTTTTCAGTTGTGATGTCTACATCAAACCACTTGATAAACTCTTGAGTATTTAATTTGTTTTCAATGTTAAATTATTATTAAAAACGCAAAAAGAACATTGTAAAGTCAGCATGAAATGTATAAAACCTATTGTTATTATTATTATTATTATTATATACGTTATGTAGAATTTTGTTTGTAGCATTTCTACTCAAACTGCACAAGATGAGAAGGCAATTTCATAATTTGGGTCAAGAGAGCACTATATTTCCTCTCAACCTGCAAAACATTTGCTCTGTCTGGATGTGCTTAAATCTGCAGTAAGGCTCATTGCACAGCTCCCCAGACTAATTAATTCTGATTGTTCAATCATGACATTCCAAGGTATTTTACTCCTTATAACAACAACAGATTAAACTATTAACAGAGGCTCATCCAGGTACCTTATATCATCTTGACCATGGGCGTCAAACTCATTTTCACTGTAACTGTAAGATTGTATAAATGTTATTTCTCCTTAAAGGGGTGGTCCACTACGATATCATATTTTAAACTTTAGTTGATGTGTAATGTGGCTGGCTGTGTGAACATAAACAACATCTCTAAATGTAATACGCTCAAAATTCAATGCAAATGGAGGCATTGGCTTTTACAGAGTTAGCTTAGCAAAGTCTACAGTGAACGAAGTTTGGGGACTACAAAAAATACATTTGGGTTAATGATGTCACATAACAGCACATTATGTTAGGTGACCAATCAGAGTCTCTTGAGGGCGGGCTTTCGGAGGAACTAGGAAATATGACAGTTGCTTTCATGTTAGCTGAGTAGAAGTATATAACTGTATAAATAAAGAAGTATGAAAAAAATAAGTGATTTTTCACAAATAAAGCATGAGCACACATTGCTTTGCATCTTAAACACAACCAATTCTTAAAAATACACTCTGGACCACTCCAGAAACATGCTGTTAAATAATTGTCCCTTTTTTATAATAACATATTAAAGTAAGAACTTAATACATGTATCTGCATAAATGTTAAATACATATTACTTAATGTTATTTTAATGTGAAACTGTGTATCAGGTTAAAAAAAAACAGCATTACGTGATCAAAGTAAATAACAAAGATAATTACCATCAGAAATCATTACCTTTCTCCAAAATTTTGACACATTATATATATATATATATATATATATATATATATATATATATATATATATATATATATATATATATATATATATCAAATCAAACTGCAAGAATGCAGAAGTATGGCAATTCAAATAATTTTCAGCTAGATGGCGATTCACACTACAAAGATTTATTATAGGAGATGTAGTTTATAGTCAATATATGATGTAAATAAAGATGGATTTTATTATAATGCTGGGAGGGTTCACATCAAACACAAAGCACAGTGCCACTCGCTCTAGAGCACTCAGAGTAATGTCTGGTAAACACTGCTTTTCTCTTCATGCAAATTTTAAGCTCAAGTTTAATAACTTGAACTTGCACGGAAGACGCAATTGAAGCAAATTCTGTGTGTTTGGCTAAGGGTTTACTCACACTATGCTATCAGATTCCGAACCGTGCCCAGGTCCATTTCCCAGATCGTTTGAGAAGTGTGAGTGCTCTGAATCGGGCTGAGGCACGGTTCACTTGGCCAGCCCTGGCCCGGTTGGAATAGGTGTGCAGCAGTTCACTTGGGCTTTGGTGTGATATGCTTGTATGTGAGTGCAAAATGTGCCTGAGCCCGAAACTGAAAGTGAGACATGACTTTTAAGGGACTGTTTTATATGGATTAATTAATCATTCTTACTGTTCAATGAACACAAACTGTCGTAGTTTAATAAAGATGCAAACCCCTCACTGCATGACTTCTGCACCTTCAGCAAACCTCATAATTCCTGCAGCATGAGGACTTTATGATTGTTTATAAGCATCAGAAGTGGCTGATCTGTTCGGCAAAATATTTGACGGCATGTCTCTGCATATCAAACGACTTAAATAATATAACTAAAGAAATCTCCACTGAGCTGAGTGAAAGCACTTACTGAACAGCACATCATCGATGACGTAAGCGTGCCCAGGCCCGAATGTAATGTGAGTGTGGGCCATCGGGGGAGACGGGAGGGGGGCCAAGATTGCTTTGGCCCGGTTGAAGGCAACTGTATATAGTGTGAGTTATTTGTTAGAGTTAGTCTAACAAGTTATTTGCACCATCCAGAATGAATACTTGAATTGACATTAGGTGTGAAACTTATACTCTCGCAGACCACATAAATTGATATAGCCAGCCAGATTTGCTCTGGGACCTTGAGTTTGACACCAGTGATCTTGCCTATATTCTTAATACATCTTGTGAGTAAATAAGAAGGTCAGAGTACACTGTATAGGTGTTTTTCTTTCAGAAAGCTTTACTTTCTATTAAAGAGCTAATCAATGTTTTGTGTATAATATTTAAATTTTGTGGCAAGTTGTATAATAAGTGGGAAAATGTACATCCAGATGAATGTTTCACAAAATTAAGCCATTCCATCTTATAAAACTGCTGATAATCCTGTTGAGCTTTATTACACAAGAACAAGCGGCTGGATGTTCTTAATCCCTTACATATATCATACATGCACTTTAGTAAACCAAAAGATAGCAGGTTAATGTGTTTCCACCTCTGGCAAAATTAGAATAATGGCTTAATGGCTATTTCCAAACCTGTTTGAGTGTCTTGATGATATTTTGAAAAAAGCTAAACCCTTGTAACTATTGACTACCATAGTAAGAAGAATACTATTTAGGTCAAAGGTTATAGGTTGCAGCTTTCTTAAAATATCCTCTTTTGTGTTTGACAGAAGAAAGTCACTCAAACAGGTTCGGAACAACGAGGAAAAGCTGAGTAAATAACAGGCCCGGATAAAGAATTCAGAAGCCCCTGGGCACAATGTCTTGTAGGCCCCCTACTTGGTCGCACTCCTAACGTTAAATTAAAAAATAAAAATAACATAATATTTTAAATTATATACAGCACATATATTTATTGTCTTTGCAGATTTACCTTATTTTTAAAGCATTTAAAGCTTTTTTTTATTAAAAAAAATATACTAATACAACTAGTGAAAATTTATGGATATTAATATACTTCTTCAAGTTCACTGAAGCAGTACTAAAAATTTATATTTAATGGTATTTTTAATGTATAACTTCTACAAACTTTTAACGCATATGATTTGGATAACACCTTTCCAATCCACTTCTATGAATCTGAGTCTTATTACACACACTTATTAATGATTACTACTTCTCTTCCTCATGATGAGGAGTAGACAAAATTTGATATGTAGTGGGGGAAAAAAGAAGAAAGTGTTCATCAGAAGCTGGATTTGAACCGGGTTCATAATCGATCACGTCAAATCATTTTGCCATTCGCTTTACGAGCTACGCCACTCATGCTCTTTAGTTATGTTGTCTCTCTCAATCAAACGGTGATGGGCGGGAATCACTCAGCTTATTCCAACAAGGTGCACTATTTAAATTTAGCCTAAATAGACACTCCAAAATCAGTGTCCCTCGCAGGGGCCTCAAGTGCGAACAGTCCTCTGGGCCTGTGCCCATAATGCCCATTGGTTAATCCGGCCCTGGTAAATAATACGAAAAACCATACTTTGATAAAGGAAAACAGGTTACCAACTTTATTAAGCAGGATAAGAATGTGCTATTCAGTAAATGTAATCAGTGATTAAACTCTGTGATTTTATTTCATTAAAACTGTTTGCTAAGATGAGAATCACAATGTTTTTTGCTTAGGCTGAGGGAGAAAATCCATAACTGGTGTACAACTTGATGATTTAAATGCATAAATGATGTATTTTTCTTTAAAAAAAATCATTGCTTTCTGTTCCATAAATCTACTTAAAGTGATGAAAGTCTCTGAAAGAGATTGCTCTGCTATACACTTAGTCTTTAATATGTGTCGCTATGGAAACACAGCATGATAGGCTTTAGAAACAGGCATGAAAGTTTAAATAATATGTGCTTTTCGAATACATCAGATCAAACTGCATTCATATGGATGTCAGATTTGTACATTTGTCAGGCCATGAATCGTTTGTTGAGGGGCAGATAACTTAATGCTTTGGCACATAATGCTTGAAAGATGTTTGCATTCGAACCATGGACTATAACAAGCTTTTAGTACCATATTAATGTATTTATAGCATGAGTTAGCATACATGTCATCATAAATATGATGCTTAAATGATTGCTTAAACCAATGAATAAAAAACAAATCACAGAAAAAAAAATGTTTTAGACATTGCAGTTTCATTTGACATAATATATACTAAATGTTTAGAGCTGGATTTTTTTCATGATTTTTAAATTAAGTCTCTTTTAATCTTCATTTATTTAATAAAAATGCAGGGGAGCGAGCGTTTTTGTTAAATATTACTACAACTTAAAATAAGATTCTATTTTCAGCATTATTGTTTGTTGTTCAGATGAATTTCTTATTATTAATGTTGGATTTTTTTAAGATTTAGAATAGACAGAATACAGCATCAATAATTAATTAACCATTCACAGTATTTTTTTATGACATTATAGATTTAGTCAGTTTGATTAATATAATAGATTAATATAATATTCCTTTGCTGAATAAAAGACTGACACCAAATTTCTAAATGGTGCAGTATTTTATCATTGGTGGATCAAATGGAAAATATAGAATCATAACTTGTTTTAAAAATGCATAGATTTGTTTTTCACCCCAAAAAAGTGGAAAGTAATCTGTCAGACCCCTAATATTTATTTACCAACTAGAGAGCAAAGCTTTTCTATTTATTATAAATCAAAGTAATTTATTGAAGCATAAAAAAACAGAAACAGTAATAATTAATGAATGAATTAATCAATTGTATTTTAAAATAAAAATGCTAAACCATAAAATACAATATCAATCAAAATGTATTCATTTAATCAGATTTAAAAGTTTAATAAGATAAGCAAATAGAAGTTTAAAATACAAATACAAACAGATTAAAATAAGGTCTCAATTAATATTCAAAATAAACAAATAATGCACTATTTCATTAAAGTAACTTTAATTATTAAGTTAGAAGTTTTTTTAATGAAATATTGCATCATTTCTTTATTTTGATCATTATTTTAGACTGTTTAATAATTATAGTTCAAATGAAATTAAAATAAGATTGAAATGAAAATGAATATATAATTAATTTCATTAACATGTCAAAAAGGTATAAATAAATAAAAAATGTTTAAATTAACAGTAATATAGAAACTATGTTGAGCTATTTGTGATGTTTATTATAAATGTAGATAAATTGAGTTCTTTTATAAGAAATGATATAGATGCCTTGCACAAGGATGCTTATATATGGAGATCTTTGGCATCTAAAACATGAAAACTTCAAACATTTAGTTCATAAAAGTGTATAATAAATATATCTTAAAGTTCAGTCATATTACAGTTCAAATAATTTCAATGTTAAGCTATTAGTCTGAGAAAGAGCATTATGAGCCAAATAAATTTCTATGTACAGATCTCGGTGCACATTTTGCCATCTGTGCTTCCCCACTGTGGAAAAACACCAGGATCTAAGCTGTCTGAAGAGATGTGTGTGTGTTTATCAGGACACAAATCTGTAAAACGACATGGGCACGACACCCGTATTACAAAAAGAATGTGACTTACGGGGCCATTACTGATTTGCCCATTTTTCAAAAGTTTTACAAATCATACTATTTTTTTTCATGAAGTAAAACTTTGCAAACCCCACAACTCACAAAAGCAAACGTGTGTCTGCGTGTGTACTTTTTATTATGGTTTACAAGGACACAGCGTTGCATAATGACATGGGTATGACCTTGTACTCTACTATTATTCATGAAGACATGCTTAAAATTCATACTTAACAAGGTCTTTTGACATTCAAAATATGCCACAGGACATGCACTGTAAAAATGCAGGGTTCCACACAATTCATTCATGATGTCCCAACATAAACTGATTAAGTTAACATAACACATGTAAGTGGGTTGAACATAAAACAATTAAGAATTGTGTTGTTATAGCTTATTTTAAATAAGTAGTTAAAAATCTGTAAACAATTGTTTTTGAATGTATAATAAGCTATTTATACAGTATAAAATGCATTATGCATATGAGGAGTCCTTGTAAACCGTACGTGTGTGTGTGTTACCTTGCGCAGAGGCTTGAGGTGTGTCTCCATGATGAAGTCATATTTGCAGAGCTCACAGCAGCGAGTGTCTGAGCTCTTGATCCACTGGTGCAGGCAGCCCTGATGCACAAAGCGTAGACTTCCAGTGCAGTGGCAGGGAGTGATGAGAGGACACTCCTCGTCCCCTTCACAATGACAGATCCTGCACACACCAAAACACATGCTCTACACTCTAATTCATCTCACATTAACCCCTACTTTACCTGCTCCCACATTATATTGAGTTTAACTAATATATATTTGCACTAAAATTAATAATTTGTTACAATGTACAGTTGAAGCCAGAATTTTTAGTCTCCCTGAATTATTTGCCCCCCTGTTTTTCCCTAATTTCTGTTTAACAGAGAGATTTTTTTCAACAGATTTCTAAGCATAACAGTTTTAATAACTCCTTTCTAATCAATGATTTATTTTATCTTACTAGATATTTTTCAAGACACTTCTATACAGCTTAAAGTCACATTTAAAGGCTTAACTAGGTTAATTAGGGTAACTAGGCAGAATAGGGTAATTATTCAAGTTATTGTATAACGATGGTTTGTTCTGTAGACTTTAGAGAAAATAATAAAGCTTAAAGGGGTTAATAATTCTGACCTTGAAATGTTTTTTTAAAAATTAAAAACTGCTTAATTCTTGCCGAAATAAAACAAGTAAGACTTTCTCCAGAAGTAAAAATATTTTCAGACAAACTGTGAAAATGACCCAATGACCAACTGTACTTATTGTGTAAATACATGTTTTTATATTGTACTTATGATTGATTAAATACAGGCATGTAATTACATCTCTGATTAATTTCTGTAATTACATTTGTAACTACATTGTTGACCGTCCCTTACACCTTAACCCACTGCTAAACCTACACGTACCACCAAATCAGTCCCTAACCCTAACCGTATGCAAAGACTATTGAATACACTTAAAGGGACTTATGCCACCGTATGCCCCTTAAAGAGCAACAGAAGGGTTCTGCAATACATTTTGAACACAGTAAGTGCATTGGTTTTACTTTTGGAGGGAAGTGCATACTATCTAGGGCCACCTAATATAATGTGGGACCCAAAATACTCCAAATATTTATTATATGCTGACTCATTTTAAATTCTCAGAAAGTATATTTATATTTATATGTCAGAAGTATTTGCTAAAATAAACTAAATTTAATAAATTACATTTATTGCAAATAAAATTCTTCATAAACATATTGACTTATTGCTAGAGCCAGACAGAATCTGCAGACATTTTTTGCTATTTCTGCGGAGAATTTTGTAAAATGCGGAATGATTTTAGGAGTACTGTAACTTAAAATGTAATATATGAAATTAAAAATATATTTTTTATAACTTTTATTAAATGTTTACAACATGCAAATATAATTAGATTTAAATATAATCCACTTATTTGGTAAACAAAGCAAGTCTCTCATATAATATATCTCCTAAAAGACAGAACATATTACTTTACAAACTGTATTATAAATAAATGATATCAACATTTTAATATTACTGTTATTATATGATAATAATATTAGTGAAATTAATTTAAATACATTTAAAAACTAAATAAATATAAATATATACACATTTACACAAGTAAATACATAAACTCAATGATGGGCTAAAAGTCTGTGGATTTCTGTGCCCGCAGATTCCGTGTGGGCCTACTTATTGGTAACATTTTAGTTTAAGGATCAATTCTCACTATTAACTTGCTTATTACCCGCCTGTTATCAAAATATTGGCTGTTTATTTGTATATATGATCTTATTCTACATCCTTAACCCTACCAAATACCTAAACCTTTCTACTTCCTTAACCATCAAGCAGCAAATAAGGAGTTTATTGAGCAAAATTTTATAATGGTTTATAAATAAATAGTGAGAATTATATCTTAAAATAAAGTGTTACCAACTGATCTTCATAAATATATTGTTCTTCAAAAATATATTGTCAATACTGTGACTTTTGATCACTTTAATGTCTCTTTGCTAAATACATTTTTTCTTTCTTTTAGTTATGTTTTGATTGTCAGAGTATCATGATTGTGAATCCAACAATATTATGAAGCTCTGTTTTTAACCTTGATAATCAAAATCATTATATTATAACGAGTATAATCCTAATCTTTGCCATCACAGAAATAAATTAAATGTTAAAATAGACCTAAATAATAATAATAAAATTCTTATTAAATAATATTAATTCCCCTGTGTTTGTACTCAAAAACATGCAACCATGTTGGAGACTAACTCTAAACTGTAACACCAGTATGGATGGCCTTGATGGATGATGTATATGGATAACCCTAATTATTTTAAGCATGTGCGTTTCTCTCTCTCTCTCTCTCTCTCTCTCTCTCACCTGCACACTTCTAGCTCATCATCAGTGCATGGCGGCTGCATGGCGCCATTATGATTGCTGGAAACAGTGCATTTGTATGGGGAGGGGACGGACAAATCGGGGTCTCCTTGACCTCCCTCTTCATACGTCTTTGTAATTGGCTCCCCCTCCTCACTTCTGCTTTCACTCGCTTTCCTCGGATTGGTTGCTTGGCTTTTGTCCTCTTTTTTTGACACTGACTTTTTGTGGGCCTTGCCATTGGAGCCCTTGCATTTGGGTGGCTGGTTCTCCTTCTGTGCCTCATCTGAGTTGACAGACATGAGCTCAGTGCCGTCTCGTTGAGTTTGGGTTTGTTTGTGTCGGCTGCTGCTGCGTCTCCGTCTGGCTTTCTGTCGGCTCCAGGAACGAGCTTCTCTCCAGCGCTGCTCGTCCTCTGAGGACGAGTCGGAGAGTGTGCGCGTTTGTTTATGGGAGCGAGGTTGTTTCGGGTTTTGTCCCACACACTCTGTGGAGCAGCCAGATGTCCCGGTGCTCTCCCTGCGCCGGCGGACGCGGCGTTTAACTTGGCGCTTGGAAGTAGTGGGGGCGGGGTCAGAGGCGGGGTTTATGGGCATGATAGGTGTGGTCTGATCTGAGCCATGTCGTTTAGCTTGACCACTAGAGCTGCACAACACACACACACACACACACACACACACACACACATAAAAAAATCAAAAGGCATGGAATAAACAACAAAGCATGAAATGATTAGTGAGTGGATGAATCCAAATGAAAGAATAAAAAGTGCATTACTTTGGAATCCCCCCTCTTATTGGCCTACTTTTTCCATACAATTAACTTACTAAAAGTGTTTTTATTACAGACCAGCAGAAGTAAAATGTGGCATTTAAAATAATTTCAAACCCTAAAGGCCAAGACCCACCAAGCCAACGGTCAACCATCAGGCTGTTGGTCAGTGTCAGTCTGGCTAGTTGGTTTAGTTTGTCAGCTTTCATTGGGTTAATGTTGAATCAAGTTGCCCTGATTCAGTTTGTAGAATCAGGCATCAGTGAAATAGAGCACTCTGGTTTTTCATCAACAAATCCAACCCAGGATCATTGGGAATATGTGCCCGGGGCTACATATTTGAGAACTGTGAAATATGTGCCCCAAGCTACGTTTGGCTGAATTTTGTGTATAATTTGATCACTACTAGACGGTATGACGTCGCACACAACCTAATTAACTTAGTTGCTTTGGCTCAATTCTCAAATGAAATTTTTATTTTTCAAAACAATAAGTTCAGATCTCTGAGAAATTAGCTTATTGTTCACATCAGAGTGAGATTTCTTGTTGATTTAAGCAAATGCTTTGGCACGTGTGTGCAGACAGTAAGTGCAAATGTTTGTCGTATAGACAAAAACTATAATTTTTTTCATGGATGTTTACTTTGCAGTATTTTTTTCTATTTGTGGTGATGTAAGAAATATGAAATGCACAATACAATAATTGGACAAGCAAGATTGCAATTTACACTTAATACGTTTGTATAAAAATGAATGGTAACACTTTATAACAACTACACACTATGAACTATTTATTAAGCATAAGCAAATAGTTAATTCATTATCTATTAAGCATTAACTCTACATAAATAAATGTTAGGTACAAATGTTAGTTGTAAGCTTAGCGTAGAACTCAACTGTACATTTGAAAATGTCATTATCAGCAGATAACGTGATTTAGGGTATACAGACTGCTGTGTCCTACTAGCAATATAGTCTAACATGCAAAAGAACCTATAGCTATAGTCATAGTACTGTAGGCATTAGTAGTGAACCCTGAATACATATCTAGTCTTTAAAGTAAAGAATTAATAGTTTGTTTGTTGCTTTGTTTTAATGTTCTGTATTGTTAATTCGTGAAAAAGCAAAATAAAAATATATAATAAAAAAAGTAAAGAATTAAATACATGCATAGGTTACAGTATGTAATTAATCCTCTCATAATCCTCTCATGATGCAATCAATCCAGAATTCTTTTGATTCTTTATTCTCTCCACAAAGTGTGTAAAAAGTACTTAGCATGCAAGTGCTAACAATCACTTAAGCAGGACTAAGCAGAAAAGAGAAAGGATGGATGGATGGATTGATGGATGGTAGGTAGGTAGGTAGGTAGGTAGGTACATACGTACTGCTTAAATTATTTCACCATCTCTACACCAATGAATGTGAATGTCCATGTCTGTGGGTGGGGCTGTGTCAGTGTGGTAATGTGGGCTGGTGTGCCTACAGTGCCGGGGCTGAATTTTTGTCACAGTCCTCCCCGGTTATATGCACAGAAGATAGATTGATGTGACTATTTTCAATTTCATAAGGTCCTTTTACAGCATCGATAATGTTGATTTTTATTCAGTTTAACAACAAAACATAAGTTAATAGCGTTATTCCACCTAGCCTGCTTTACTGAAGTCAAGTTGGTTTTATATTCACATTGGTTCATTTTTTAACAATGACAACCTGTGATGCGTTCCCTATATTAATAACCACACTGTAAACGATTTCTTGTTAAATCAACAGTAAGTTACTGGCAACAATTATCCAGTAGCTGCTGTATTTCATAAAACAGTAACATTACTGTAATACTAATTACATTAGTATTACATTTACTGTAAAATGTAATACATCATTTTACTGTTGTTGATTTTTACTGTAACACCAATTACAGTAGTGATACACATACTGCAAAACTGAAAACAGTATTTTATTGTACATTTTTACCATGAAGAACTACGGTATTTTAACGTTACTTTTATTATTACTGTATAGTATTTTACAGTTATTAAATGTTATTTTATTTTATTTAATAGTGCTACTTTATAATGGGTAAAAATGTTCAAAAATTGCACAAGTGTTATTTTAACTGTTCAAGAAATACAAGAAAAATAAAGAAACTGAAACTTTAACTTCACAATAAAGGTTTATTGTGTAAACCATGCTAAAACAGTAGCAATAATTCAATATAACAAAGCAACAGAACACTAATAAACAATTGATCATTAAAACCAGTCAACAATTAATGCATCAAAAATTATTACAATTTTAAAAACAGGTGAAAATACTGCTACAAGACAGGAAATGATGAAGGCCAAATGATGTGGAAAGGGACAGTGAAAAAGGGCAGCAGCACTTCTGATGATCCTGCAAAAATGACAAGCAAAATCAATCACTGAAGTAAAAACTAATCATCCCTCAAACCATTTAATTCATTCAGAAACGAAACACTGCACTGTTGTTTTTTTATACATATATATATATATATATATATATATATATATATATATATAAATATATATAACAGTTATAATATATATAACAGTTTTTTTAATTGTTTTTGTTGGTGAAATACAGTTTGTTGTCAATTCACAATTACACTAACGTTAATGGGGAAAAGATCAGCGGGCATTGTTCTTAAAGATTGCTATTCAGGTGTCCACACAGGTGTGTAAAAAATAAAGTCTCATCTTAACTTAATGTCCGACTCTGTATAGCTCGAATATCTGATTCCATGATCACACTACTAGTGCTTCCACGAATTTAAGAGGGGTGAACACAGTTCATTCTCACTTTAAGAGGCTACATATTTAAAATTAAATAAATAAAAATAATCTAATTTAACGTGACTAATGTTAATTAAATACTTTTAGGCTTTTAACACGTATAAATCCACTTCTAACTTACAGATAAGATTGCGTTAGAGAACATGAAAGCCGTGGGTGATTTTTTAAAATAATGCTAATGATGAGTTACTGATATTTGGTTTGCATAAAACAAAGTAATCACTAAGCATTCATTTTTGGCAAAATCTGCAGAGAGGCTCAGCGACACGAGGAAATGTGTTAAAGTTGAATAGAGAACTAAAGAGCAGTCTAGCCTACTTCATGAAATGTTTGTGGTAATATTCTGCGGTCAATTCGTATTACTGTATTTTAATATGCAGCAGTGATGGCATGTCAGCGAGACAAATAAACATTTTATCGAGTCATTTCATACAATTTATTTATTTATTTATTTTTATACAAACCCTCTAGTGACATTTCCTCAAACTAAATCATCATAACGTTACTGTGCACAGCATCAGTAAAACGTTGAGAATAATTTAAATACTTAATTTTTTAAAACAGTCACTGCTGATTAGAAACTAACATTAAAGCTAAGCTTACAGAAATCCTGTATGCATGACAATATAAAGATGTATTACTCACTGATGTCGAAGCACTTCTAGGTCATCAGAGATGTAGACAGGACAGAATGTGTGCTATCAAATGAGTTCTTGTGCAGCCTTTGTTGGACATCCAGGTAGTATGTTCACCCACACTGTAAGAAACAAAAACAGAAACAATTTATTAAAATGTGAGGGATAGTAAACATGTTTGGTCTACAGAGAGAAGAAAATGTTTACTTTAAGCATTGATCCTAATGAATCTATTTCTCAACTACATTTTACCTTATCACGGAAACAGCATTTTTGAGCTTTTAGACCAGGGGTGCTCAACCTTGTTTGCTTTAAATTAGAATTAAAACAATAAATCTCTATGTCAAATAAAATACTTCAGATCTAAATAAAGCAGGTGCTTTTACCTAAAGGTTCCTTCTCTCCAGTTAGTTTGGCTGCAAATCCCTCCACATCTGTGCTTTATTCGGTTCTTGTCTTAAGAGTAACTGGTGTCGCATTCCAGGTCCATCACAATCTGGGCTAGAAGGACAATATGACAAAAGACAAGACACATATAAATAAGTCTCAGAATAAAATATTTAAAGGAATAGTTTACTATTTTGCCACTATTTACTCCACGTGTTTTAAACTAGTTTGAATTTCTGTTAAACACTGAAGCAGATATTTCGAAGAATGTTAGTAACCAGTAACTATTGACATCCATATTTGAACCAAATTTCTTTAAAAAATATGAGTTTGTGTTCAACGGAACAAATTAAATATATAACTATTTTGAAACAAGTGGAGGATGCCAAAGATGCTATTATTTTCATTTTTGGGTGAACTGTCCCTTCAATTCAAGTGTCAAGCAATAGTCATAAAAACTGATGTGTCGCTTGAGGAAAACTAAATCAAGTACCTTCTTTGAACAAGCAGAATCATTATGCCATTGTATTCAGTGATTCTCTTTTACATTTTCCCACTATAAAACGATAGCTTCAACATGCAATCCATGTTAAGACAAAAATGAATAGCATAAAATAACATATTGAACTAAACTTACAGTTTCCAGGCTGTTTGAAAAAAAAACAAACACATATGCCCAGTAAAATTGCTAATAAACACAAAGACAACAGTTATAGAAAAAAATGTTTGTCTAATATTTACTAAGCACTTGGTAGGCAAATAGCATAGCCGTGGCTGTTTTAACACCAGATGTTTTTTTTTTCTTAAAGTTTTCTTAGGAACTGCTGGAAGAAGAAAAAGAGGTTGTACATTAAACTCCTCACAACAAATCTGTGAACAACTTGACATTTAAAAATCTAATCAAAATGAGGAAGACATCGACATTACCTTGAATAATCAAGTGAGGAGTGATTGGTTGCATCAGTTTTTCAACATCAATTACTGTAGCTAAAAAACAGATAAATATAATAAGAGTAAAATAAGACTTAACATTAATTAATCTAAATCTATGGTACAACCACACCAATCTGTATGGGGTTAAAATACATTTGTACACAAATCATTCCCTGACCCCATCAATTTCTCTTAGAATAGGATGGATATGACTTTGGCTTATATCTGTGTACTCAGAACGTACACTCACCTCAGGTACACCTGAACACCAAAAATTAAATGTACAATTAATGACACACTATACATCAAGCTCATTAACATTATTGAGAAATAGACAATTAATATGTATTTTGTTAATATTAACGTTAGCTTAAAATAATTCAACTGCATTTAATTTTCAGCTCCATTTAATAAAACAGTTAAGACTCATTTCATTATGAGTTTAGTTTAAATAACTAACTTACAGTTGAAAAATTTTACCATAATGATAGCTTAGTCATAATGACTAACGTTATGTGAAGACCAGAGCTTACCTTAACGGTAAACGTTTAACTTTTCATGGTGACTTCGCCTTCATCTCAGTGTTGTGCTGAAATAGAGAATTCATTAATGCAGTTACTTACAATAAGTTGAAGTTAACGTTATGTTTTTCAGGTAACTTAAAGTATGGTCAAAAACTCACTCAAGATAAACTTACTGTATCTAATACCTCGCAAACACTACAATGACCGCCTGGCGTCTGTTATTTCTTGTTTAAAATACCGTTTGTTAACGGATAGCGTGACATAACATAAGAACCTACAACTAATGTCACTTGGTTAATTCTTTTAAATTACACACACAATACACAGAAATACTTATAAAACAATCCTTTAACGGACAGAATTTGACTTTAAAACACTTACCGAGGATGAATTCGCTGGATGAAAGACGACAGGTGAATTTCAAAATAGGAGAGCCGTTGCCTGCATGTCGAGTCGTGTCCGTTCGGTTCTATGAATCGGCTCCTTAGTGAACAGTAAAGAATCGAATCCGCCTAAAACAGATTCCTTTTTGTATATGATTCATTACTATTTCGTTATACTGCTTGGCCACAAGCATTTATACACTAATTATACACTAATTGCATATTGCTGAATGTGCTTGTGAACACGTGTGATCAAATAATTCCCGAGCAAACGGTTCAATACGATTCAGAGTCGCTCGAGTGCTGAACCGAACCAGTGCAAACGTGATATTGATTACAATATAGTAACATTGTTTTTTATTCACATTACCAGCGAAATTATTACATATATCTGACCTTGACAATACGAATAAAGTTCGTTTGAAGTGTTTTGAGAATTAATATTTTTTTCTCCCAGAATTCATTTCACATCAACAAGCAAATGGTAATGGCGGATGAGAAAGCCCAGCTAATATTATAAATATTGCGTTTAATATGTCACGAAATGAAATTTTAACAGTGTTTCATGCGAGAATGTGGTTCTTACAAACTTAAATCTGTGGTTTATTTATAGATATCATGTGTAAATTGTATGCGTGCTTTGTCGATAGCGGAGATTCTGACCTCCAGGGTGTCCATCATCACTCATGTATCCGGCGAAACGAGGTTATAATCGGCTAGACATGTGAGACTTGCCCCGGTCTTAGATGGCTCTATAATGAATGTGTTATGAAATTTAGTTTTAACCGTTTTTCATGCGGGAATGTAGTTGTTTTAAACTCAAGACTGTGGTTTATTTATAGAGATGGTGGGTATTTTAAAATATTGTTTTGAAAATGCGGAGATATGTGACCTCCATGGTGATGACGGGTGCCCTAACCTCATGAATCCGTCTAAAGCAGGCTGGTCATTATGACATTTAAGCTAACTTTGGTTTCATGAATTAATTACTTTTGTTCCAGTTTACGTTTTGGTTAAGCACAAATTTATGTTGATTAAAAATGATTTAATATTTTCATGTTAACCTTATAAAATTAAGGTGCAGTACACCCAAATATGGAAAACCAGGGGACAGCTTTATGCACTGAACAGTCTGAAGAAATAGGTTATTTTATTTTTCTTCACAAAATACTTTGTCAAAAAAAATAAACATAATAATAATATAAAGTGTGTGTAGAGTTTTTCATGGTCATTTGCAGTACTGTATTTAGATGCACAGTAACTGATTTTTTCCCAAAATTCATTGTAAAATCTGCAGTAGCATACTGTTAATCATGTTCACAGTATGGAAATGTTGAGAATACATTATCATGCTGTGAAAACAGCAATATATACAGTAACACACTGTGCACAGCTTATACAGTAAACAACTGTTGAGAAATGCAGTATAATACCGTGAAAACAACAGAAATCGTTTACAGTGCATGCTACTCTGAATATTCAGTTTTAAATAGCATGTAAGTATGACTTAGAAATAAGTGTATATCCTGCATGTTCCAGCCAAGCACTAAGCAGAGTCGCTATAGAACAGCACATGAGAGAGGGTTGTGTCATCTTTAAGGTGCGCGCGCTCGTGTTTCAAGAGGCGTGGCTTTGGACGGCAAGGGAGGGACTGTGTTTCAAAACTATTATGCTAACCGGTTAGCATTGTGGCAGATCAACTACTGCACCTTAAATTTCCATGGTTGACTGTCATTTTGAGCAGTGGCTCACACGATGACAAACATTCTTTGTTTTGGTGGCCTTGGCCAACACACACACAGTTTTGAGGCATGAATACAATGTTTTGGGTGAGTAGCTACATTTTGCAGTCATGCAATAAAGTTTGCACTCACAGTTTAGAGAATGTAACGGCTGTTTGGAAAAATGTGCCAAAGGATTTGAGAAAAAATTTTTTGTGTTCTGAAGTCCATTTTTAAGTAAATTTAACTATACAAAATATTTTAAGACAAGTATTATAAGTGTATTTTGCATGCTTAATGTAATGTTTTATAAAGTAATTCTATTTTCCATGTTTAATTTAACTTCATAAATTATATTAATCTATGGTAATAGATTTGCAAAAAAAGTAATAGAATGATTAACATCCATTTTTATTGTTCTGCTTATTTTCAACCTTAATGAAAATAAAAAAATCCTTGCCAATTTATCTTTTGAACTCCACTGCATAAATTTCCAAAGACAATGACATTACATAACTGAACTGACTACATTAAACCACATGTGTAAAAAAGTTAACAAACACACAGTAACTCCAGTCACCCACACTCACCTGCATATGTCCTGTGAGGAGTGTGTAACTGATGTCTGAGAGATGCTGTTCAGCACAGCTCCCTGCGTTGAGCTGCTGGCCTGAAACAATCATATTACACACTGTTGGCATTAGAGTGGCTTTGAATAATGATAGTGTGTGTATGTGGGTGTGTTACCTTAGATATACTGCTGGATCGACTTCCCGATCTCCCAGGTGCTTTTTCGCCCTGAAGTAAACAAAGTGGATTAACTTCATGCTCTCTTTACCTTAGTCAACCCTTTATCATTGTAGTGAAAGAAACTTTTTCCTATTTCAGATTATAGTTGCCAACAAATTGTACTCCAAATTTGCATATTCATTGAAGGGATATTTTACTTCCTCAGGTGGTTAAAACTTTTATTGTAAATCTTTTTTTTGGTCTTTTGTGTGACAATACAAATTTAATATTAATGGTTTGGTAAACCATAAGGAATTGTTAATTATTAATCCCATTTATAGTCGCCACAATCATTTTAACTCAATTCAACAAAACAATGAAATTAATTAATGAATAAATAATAATTAAGTACCAAATATAATACAATAGATGTACTTAAATAATATATATATATATATATATATATATATATATATATATATATATATATATATATATATATATATATATATATATATATATATATATATATATATATATATCAGAAAAGAATCACATAAGTGATAAATAAAAATATATAAATAAATACAATTTAAATTTTTATAAAATAAATTAATTAATAAACTAATTTAAATTTAAATAAAATATTAAATAAATGAATAAAAATGCAAATAAATAAAAAATTACAATATAATAAAATGATTAAATTAATAAATAAATATAAATTTTAATAAATTAATTTAAATGAATTTTAATTTTTAAAATGAATAAATAAATAACTAACATACAAAATAACTAAATTGAGATTACACGTTACATGTTGAGTGAGTCGTCGGTTTGAGTGATTCGAAAGACCCACCCCCTTCTGACAAAGTCCAGAATTTGGCCCCTATATGAACTAATTTGTCTAATTTTTGACAGTGCCATCATAAATTGTGAAAATAACCAATAGAAGAAGGCTTTAGGAAAATAACCAATAAAATAATCAATAAAAGAAGGCTTTTATTATTTAAATGAACAAATTCTGACTGAGGAAATGAGCTGGCCAGTTTGTTATCTGCCTATAGGCTACAGTTTTTAATTTAATCAGTTTTTACAAATTCCCACGTTTTTGTTGTTTGTTTGTTTTTTTTATGACGGAGGATGATAAAAGGAGCATTTAAAAGTAAATTTTTTTCATATTTCTAAAATTCTAATCTCATTACAATATAAATAAAACTGTAAATACTTAGTTTAAATGCAAATTTGTAAATAAACATACATTTTTGTAAACAAAAAACAGTATGATAAGAACTTTGACTAAAATGTAGGAAGTATTTTTGTTGCATCAAAAAAGTGTGGTAATAATAACCATCCGACAAAATTAGTGCTTGAAATGCAGTATTTGAACCTTGAATAACTGCAAGTAGGTCCACTTCTTGAGAAAAAAGAACCATCTCTTTTAATAGGCTGGCTACGGGCCTGAAACACTATGAAAGTCAATAGTTACCAGTTTCTAACATTTAAAAAAAAAAAAAAACTTCAAAAAGAAAGAAACACAAACAGGTTTGAAGCAAGTCAGGGGGGCTGGTCTTTCAAGCAGACGGTTTTAGTATATTGTGCACTTCACGCTTTATGGTGATTTTGACCAATGGCATACATATGGAAAATCAGTTTGGTGATACAGTATTGTATTTACGCAAACAACACATCAACAAACAGAGAACTAGACTTTTAGAGCAAGGTTTCTGTCACATGTTTAAACAGATCTTTAATGTGACTGCAGCTTTAAGTCAAATAAATCCTATTACTAAAAATATCTAGACCATCCTAAGAGCCATTTGCGTGCGCACACGTCTGCGTGTTCATGGCAACTAGGACTATTTTAAAGATTATTTAAGGGTAGAGAGATATAGGACAGGAAGTGAGGAGAGAATCATTCAGGTCTTAAATCATTCAACTGTAAAGAGCTTTGATTTAAGTATAAAGTTAAATGACATACCACTGACTTAGTGCTTTACAAAAAATGTCAAATCAAAATTATAAATAAGAGTATTTTGGCCAATACCGATAACTGGGCTCACAAAGAATCTGATCGTACAGAAATCTGCAGATATTTTAGCCCATCATGGAGTCTATTTATTTTCTTAATATAAATAAATGTTTATTCAGTTTTACATTCATTTCATAATAATAAATATTGATGTTTATATGATTTATTTGGACTACAGTTAGTAAAGTAACATGTTCTGTCTTTTAGTAAAGAAACTTTACCTAGCAAATGGATCTTAGTGGATTTGCATTGCAAACCTTAAAAGCAAGTTATTATTTTTGTACTTCATTTGTTGTTTTTAGTTATTTACTATACTCGCAAAATCATTCCACATAAATCTACACATTTTTTACAAAATTCTGCACAGAAATAGCAAAAAATCTCTCCAGATTCTGTCCTGCCCTTCCGTTAACTCTTATATTTGGAGACCGATAACCAATACATAGACTGATGAATACAAATCTTGATACCAATTTCTTTTCTGAGCCTGACTACAACAACAAAACACAAACAAATTCTTCCCTCTAGCGCAAAATTCTTCTAAAGAAAACCACAGGGACAGCAGCATGTAGTAGAGATGCACTGGCAGACATAATCCATAATTTATCAGCCTCTAATTTATTTTCTTATTGAACTGATAATGAACAGTAGAAAAACCACTGAGGCAGACGTATACACTGTTTGGAAAATTTGTTAAAAATTAAACTTTTTTAAAAATAAATCCATTTAACAAATTTTCAGACTTTTCCCAAATATATGTAAATTTTTTTCTAACGTTGCTATTTCGTGTTTTTTTTTTTTTTTTTATAAAAAAATGATAAAACACAAGAGTTTTTAGAATTTCTGTCTTGACCAATGGTCAAACTGACCGCAGTCATTTCAGCATCTGCTACTTTTTGACTTTTGAATATAAATGTTTCTGTTGCCTAGCAACTTTCTGCTAATAAAAACACACCTTTCTGATAGATAAAACTACCTTTTCACTGGGATAAAAGATGGTATTTTAAGGGTAATGACATTTAAAGCTTAATTTTAACAATTGTACATTTTAAGAAGCTTAAATTGCAAATATAACATGTCATAAATTAAGTTAAGTATACTGGCTGTCAGCACAATCGCCTCATAGCAAGAAGGTCGCTGGTTCGAGCCTTGGCCGGGTCAATTGCCGTTTCGCTGTGGAGTTTGCATGCTCTCCCCGTATTCGACTGGGTTTCCTACAGGTGCTCCGGTTTCCCCCACAAGTCCAAAGACATGCGGTTCAAGTGAAATGGGTAGGATGTGTGTTTGAGTGTGTTTGAGTTTTCCAGCGATGGGTTGCAGCTGGAAGGGCATCTGCTGCGTAAAACATATGCTGGATAAGTTGGCGGTTCATTCTGCTGTGGCGACCCCAGATTAATAAAGGGACTTAGCCGAAAAGAAAATGAATGAATGAATGAATACAGTCTGTCAGACAGGATGGCTATGGCCATTCTAAGTTATAGAATTCTGCTTGTTCCAGTGTTATATAACAGTAAAACCAGCGCTGTTGAATGCTTGATTCTGACTGGCTGATGAACATTCTGGGCTCTATTTTGACGATCCATGCGCAAAGCGCAAAGCGCAGGGCGCAAACGCTTTCAAGGCGTGTCAGAATCCACTTTTGCTATTTTAAGGAAGGAAAAATCCGCCTTGCACATCCGTGGCGCATGATCTAAAAGGGTTGAGCTTATTTTCCTAATGAGTTATAGGTGTGTTTTGAGATTAAACCAATCAGAGTCTCATTTCCCATTCCCTTTAAGAGCCAGTTGCGTCGCGCCATAAGCGCATTTGCTATTTACATGACGTAAAGTAAGTGTAAGCAGAAAAACTGAGCATTTCACTAGCAAGAAAACAGTTAAACAGAGCATCTGCAGCGTGAGAATAAGATATAAGGCATCTCATAATCTACTTTCACTTTCACTCTCGTGAATAAGGAAACCTTGTACGCACATATATCCATTAACCTATACATAATTAATTTAGTTTGTTAAGCACAAAGATTTGTTTCAAAACTATTTCTAAATTCAGTTCTAATTTCCAGCAAACGAATAAATAAACAATAATAATGAAGTGTGTTCAAAAACCTGAGTTATATCCAAATATACATGCTGCCCCATATGGTCTAAAGCATGACAGGTGGACAAATCTAAGCTTGTTTTTAATAAAACAAATATAAATATTGATATAATAAATAATACTGCTAATAATAATAACATTTTACAAAAGCAAATTGTTATGAATGAACTAAAAAGCCTCCCGAGATGAAGAAGGCATGAAGGCAGTTTTTTTTTTAATTTATGTAGGCTGGAAAATAATATGTTTGTAATATTTTAATCCTTTATATTTATATCCTATATATATCCTTATTATATCCTGTATAAACCCTTAATATTTTAATTCTTTTTCATTTGTAAAGATATTTGTGTATTGCTCTACATCTTGTCTTTATTAAGCAATGTGTAAGCGAGGTGCACAACTAACACTGCGCTCGACTTTAGACCGGTTTTGTTTTGGTCTATTGAAAAATCTATTATAGTTTCTCAAAATAGCAACGCGCCAGCAATGCGCCTCAGAACGCCTTCCTTTTTAGACTAGAACGCCTATGGCCGCACATATGAGCGCAAATGCCTTTGCTAATTTAACAACGTGGCGGAAAACGTCAAAACGACTCTTGCGCCAACCTTAAACTAGCAAATAACAATTGCGTCACGCCTTGCACCACATTGCGCTGGGTGTATGATAGGGCCCTCTAAGATGAGCAATTATCATTGGATAAATACACACATTTAAAGTATTCTTCTCAGGTTTTTACCTTTCCATTATCAGTCCCGATTTCAGTTATTTCACAGCCTTAAAAATCATATGTATAATGAAACTAGACCTGCATGCAGCAATAATGGTTTGAGGACAAAAATATGACTTGCCTTGAAATACAACATCTGAACAATAGTTATGCCTCTAATGACACACTACATACTATGCACTTTTACACTATGCACAATGCACTGTGCAATAACAC